GTAATTTATTTTTATTGCTTTCAGAATGTTTCTTAGAAAAGTCATGAAAGAATACGTCAACTGTTCTTTCTTTCTTTAGAGCCAGACGGACAATAATGAATATCCTAGTTATTTAAATTTTTCTCTGCAGAAAGAAAGAACACCTGACGTATTCTTTCATGACTTTTCCAAGAAACATTCTGAAAGCAATAAAAATAAATCACGAAGCTTAAATTTACTTCAACTTCTCCACCTTATCTTACCGCACCTTACTCTCTCACAACTTGTCTTACGTTATGTTATGTTAACTTCTCTTCTTTACCTTACCTTACCCCATCTTATTTTATCTTATATTAGCTTGACTTCTCTTCTCTACCTTGCCTTACCTTATCCCATCTTGTTTTATCTTATATTATGGGTGGAAGTTAGCTGTGAGTATCTGTACAACAAGACAAATGCGTCACATCAAGAAGCATGAGAGTCGCGCATGATTGTACGCGTTTCGCGGTTGCTAGAGCCAATCGTGCGCTGCAAAAGAAGGAAATAAAGACATGTACAAAAAAAAAGTACAAGGATAGCGTGATATTTGTCCAGTAACTGTGATATCTATATCAATCCAGCCTGTTGTATAGAACTTCCTTCTGGTTCAACGATATCTGACCCAGAATATGGATGAATATCTTTTGGATCGTCACGGATGATTATCCACTGTTGATACTTCATGATGGTTACTCCTGCATCTGTATCAATCGTTAAAATTCCATTAATATCGTTAATCTTTCGTTTTCTTGTGATCTTATAGGTGACATTGGAATCAGTAGGCGCTAAATGCATGCCCATTAACTGATTCACTAAAACAGGATTAGATAATTTCTTCTTTTTGACAGGTTTCTTGTTGTTGGACTTCCTTTGCTCCCTTCCTTCATTTTCATCAAATTTCTCACGCCATCAGTATTTGAAGGATGTTCACATGTTAAACATAATGGATCACCATCTTCTGCGGCATCTTGTTGTACATCCTCCTCTTCGGACATTGTATCCTCGTTAAAGTCATCGGATGTTGTTAATATATCCGGTGTTGCTGTTGAATCACATTCAGCTTCTTCAATTTTGGTTGATAGTTGTTGCTGATTTCTGAGAGGATGAATAGATTTGTGTTCAACATGATCCAGCAATTAAAATGACTAGAACCATAAGTTTACTTTTCTTAAATAATTCCCATAATTCCCCAAAATCCCGTAATTCCCAAAATTTCCATAATTTTTATAGTTTCCATAAGTCCCATAATTCCTATCAATACAATACTTGTCATGGCACACATAGCCCCAGAATTCCCAAAATTTTCACATTTCCACTTAGTATCGAAATCCTTAACGAATTTTCCCAAAAATTCCAGGAATTTTGAAAAGGACAACAAATGACGATACGGTTTGTAACCGCATTTTGTCACTGTTATGATCTGCCATTCCTGGCAGCTCATAAGACTATGTTCTCTTGTTCTTTTCCTTTCTTTCTGCTCTTACGCAATACTTGTGTCATCCTCTGGTTTTCCCAACTCTTTCTGTTCTTGCGCAACTCCTGCGCAACTCTTGCATAACTGTTGTTCAACTTGTGTACTATATATAGCCGGTCACTTTATGCAAATAAATATGAGAAGTGAGTGAGGAGAACCTCACAGACACCACTTGATAATTTTAAGATTTAGCCAATGTCAGCGTTTACAGATGCATTCGCAGTTTCTATGGGTGATGCTGAAAGAATATTAGATAGCTGATGTTTTTTTCTTAGAAAGGTTGACTGTTTCTTCTTCTTTTTTTTGACGAATTTTTGGGAAAACCCGTTAAGTATTTCGATACTAAGTGGAAATGTGAAAATTTTGCTGTAGTTTTACGTGCTGTGTCTAATGAGACTAAAATTAGAACTTAGAATTTGGTAATTAAGTCGAAAAGCGAGTTTTTGTCTTAATTAAGTTTTTCTTGAAACGTGTATATTTCTGACAATACGTGTTTCCGAAATGTAAAACATTCAAATTCGGATAGAGCTTAAAATTTTATGTATACTGGTAGATTATCAGTATGTGATTGAGAGACACCTTTTCTCGTTGAAATCACAAAATATAAAAATCGGCTAAATGTTCCTTATATCGATGACACGATAGAAAAATAAGAACGTGTTTTATCATATGCGAAGAGAGAAAAGAGAAGAAAAAAACATATTTTCTCTTTTTTCACAGTGAACACGAACTTATATATGCAGAACGGAAAAAGTAAAAAACTTAAGTTGTAAACGTTCAGAAGCATTTTTATGCAAAACCAATGTGATATTCGGAATCTACGAAAAGAACTGCATCGAATGATATATAATTCGACGCGTTTTGGAAAAAAAAAGTTTTCGTCCTAAATTTTAGGCAAAACACCTGAGGGCGACCTCAGGCAAAAATTTCGAGGAGAACTTTTTGTCTTCCTTCAAGC